AATAATTATGCTGAATGAAAGAACCTAGATGAAAAGAGCACATTAAAACCTAAATATGTTTGCTAGTGATCAAAAATGGAAATAACAAGATACTAAATTCCAAGCTTAGATACCAGTCACTGAAGAGCACATCGATGATAGGAAATTATTAGTGACCTGGAGATGGAAATCAGGGGATTTCATTTTTCTTTTCAAAGGTTGGTGAGAAATGGCAAGTTGATTTCAACAGTCGGAGTCTCCTTGATTATTAACTCATGAGATCAGATGTCAATGTTCATCCTTCCCAATCAATTCACCTGCAGACAACTCGTTCTTTTTTATCACCAGGGATAATTTTAAACAATCAGGGTAGAATGAACACTGTAATGAATGCTCCTGTTCCCGTTAGTCAGCTTCAACGATTTTCAGCTCATTGCCTGTCTTGTTTCATGTCCATATCCCCACCCACTCCCTGTGCCTCCAGGCCCGACATCTTGCCATTTCACCTGGAAATATTTGTTTGTATTTCTACAAGAAACGGATTCTTTTCAGTCTTTGTTTTAAATTCCTAATAATTCAGAACCAGTCCTGGCAACTTCATCTGAAAATCTTGGCGGGATTTAGAAAGAATGTGGGACTCTCTTCTCTCACACATTGATAAAGGAGAAGGGTTTACCTGCCAAGAAATTTTTCTTAAGAAAAAAAAAAGGCTTATCTTCTCTGTTTACAAAAAAAAAAAAAAAAAAAGTTGGTTTTTCTGTAGCTAGTGGCAGTGATATCCTTTCAGGCTCTCTGTGAAAGTCCCAGGGGCCGTTGTGTAACACGACCGTCATCCAGGAAAGGCATGTGCGTTTTTAGATGGAAATGTGAAATTCTAGAATCTATTCCCTGTGCGCAGCCGGGCTCGTAGGGGCATCCGCACTTGCTGAAGGCCGCCACCTGATACGGGAAACCTCGGACCAGATGTTGTGCTCCTGCGAGTGCTTCTAGGACACGGTCTCTCTGGAGATGTTTTCACGAGACACTGGGAGTCTTTGTTCTTCAAAACCTTCAAATCTCTCAGCTTCCTTTTTTTTCCCTGCTGTGGAACCATCTCTCTTCTCAGATGCAATAACTGTGCTAAAGTTGCTGCCAAGGGAAATACTGCATTGAATCCAAAGTCTTTCTAGTGAGAAAGAAGTAACTTTTTGAAAACAGAAATTTAGGGATCCTGCTCTTTCCCCCCTTTTTTTTTTTTTTTTTTTTTTGTATACTTAGGTATATGTACATGAGGGCCGCTTCAGAAAAGAGACCATTTTAATCATAGGCCAAGTGGAATGTGTTCAAGTTGTTGGAGCACCCAAAGGCGATCAGAATCAAACTGTAACCGGTTAACTCCAACCCCAACAGCCTGGTTGGATCCTGGAGCTGGCTCTTGCAACAGCTGATGGTTAAAATTTCAGAAATTTTGCAAGTTGGTTACTGATTACAGCTTTATTAAAAATTAAATCATATAAACTCACAATTAAATAAGCGGTATTAAAAACAAAGGTTAAAAAAACCACACGAAGGTAATACACAAGATTCATCATTTTTCAATTCGTTTACTATCATCTTTGCCCGTCAGGTAATTTCCATTTACTGTGTCTATGTGGTGAAGATACTACTGATGGCCTTTTCCCAACGCTGCATGGAGCGGCCTCACAGTGGAGCTGGAACTTGGCTGTGGTGGGAGTACTTACACCTGCCATGGCTCCTACAGCAGCGGTTTAAAGACCTAGTTCCGGGACCTGGCCCTGCTGCTCCTCGTTACACAGTTGGGTTATACTTTGGGAAGAATGCCATTGTGATGGTAGCCTGAGGCGCCTTGGAGAGGCTTCAGGTGTTTAGCGTCTGATGTTCAGATGGGAGAGTTACAGGGCCCCTAGTACACACATTTGGAACAAATTAGCTTTTACTTATTTATACACTAAAGTTTGGGATCTTTGCCATTAAAAAAATAAACATAGCAGATCTACAGGATAAAGTCCACCACATATTCTTCTCTTGATACCCACAGGTCTCCTATCCTTCCTTCCCTGCCCTGCTCTGTAGGACCTCTATGGATAACACCAATCAGGGTCCCTGGCCTGCTATGCTCCCAAAGGTTTCAGCCAATGGGAGGCTCTGATGGAAGATGGGAGGCAGGACAAGAGGCAGGTCAGGGTATTTATGTCCCGGCTCCCCCCTTGCCAGGCTGTGGTTGGCATTGGCTGTCAAGTGGCTCTCTTATAGGTAGTTTTCTTTTGCTAATTACTGCTTCTTTCTCTTAGCCCTCTGCCCCTAGGGGTGGTAAGTTTTCCCCTTCCACGGATACCAGCCCAGCTGCTTCTCCTCAGTTGTTGGTTTCCTGAACCCTGCCTATGCCCCCGTCCATAGCCCCTTTATTAGGCTCTCCTCAGCCTCCTTCTGAGCAGGCTGGCTGTTTCCTCCTGGGTTCCGACCCAGCCCCAGCCCTTATTCTTGTGTGGCTTACAAGGCCCCCATCCTTCCTCGTTGCACCCTTTCTCCATACAGCTTGCCTCCAGGACCAGACTGGTCAACATTCCACTCACACTCTCAGCCCTTCTCACCTGCATGCATTGCTTCTGCTGTGCCTTCGCTCCTCTGGGCCCCGATGCCATCAGCTTCACCCGTTGGCATGTCAGTCTCGCTGCTGGGGTGTGTGCGTGCTCTTGGGCAGCAGGAGAGAAATACCCCTTGGGTTTGACACAATCCTGGTACAGAGCCATTTTCTGGCTTAAAATGACGGCTGAAAGGCAATTATTTCCTTCAAATGGCATCCCTGTGCAGCAAATCATTAGCGCATTTTCTTCCTTGGATGGAAAAATACCCAGGCACAGACAACGTTACTGAGGCCTCTGCTGGTTAGGAGAGTGGGGAATACTTACCTTGCTCCTCCCACAGTCGCTGACTGGACTGAGCACTCAACCAACACCAGGGCTGCTTCTAGGAAAAGAGCCCTATTAGTTGGGTTGACAAAGAAGGTGAGGACAGTCATCAAGCCAGGGCTGGCTTGTCACTGGCTTACCTACTCCGCAAACCCATCAGAGAAGGGGTGGAGGAGTGTCCTAAGGAAGCAAGGTTTGGAAACACCAGGAACCAAACCCTTCCTGTAGTCAGGTCTCACTATCTCAACTTCTATTCACAACAGTACATTCAAGGGCAAACCGTTTGCAGTCTGCTCTGTATTTACCAGTCTAGGTTACTCTGATGGATTATGACAATGCTTTCTGGGAAATTCTTCACACACCACGGGCCTCACAGGTCAGGAACCAATTAGTCAAGAATTGTGCAGCATGAGGGCCGCAGTGGCCGGCCCTTCCTCCCCGGGCTGGGAGAGAAACCAGCCGGCATCACTGAAGGAAGGAAGGGCTCGCTGGTGTTAGACTTAATCGCACCGGTGACACTGCCATTCAGAACCCGCCCTTCTCTGGTAACGCTGGGTGGTCTGGGGCGGCTTTCTCTGGCCTGGAATGTACATTCTCACTAACAGCAACGGCGTCCCCACTGGCGTGACTTAATTAAGCAGCTCATCCCGTGGGGCTGCCCATTAGCATCACCTGGGGAGCTACCAAGGCTGGGCCCCACCCCCAGAGGACGGCCTTTAATTGGTCTGGGGAAGGGCCTGGGCGCTGGGACTTTTTACAAATTTCCTTATGGGATTTTAATGTGCACCTGGGCTTGTCTAACCCTATCAACCAGCTCATAAAAGAGGACCCAGGAATCCCTGTCCGTGTCTCGTAGGGGTTCACGGTTTAACCAGAGACACAGACAATCTTGGCGTTCAGGCAGAGATCCTGGGGGACTGTGAACTTCTCAGTGTCTAAGGCTGTGAGATACTTCACAGTCAAGTCCAGAGCTAGCAGACCCGCCCTCTCCCCCAACTCTCCCTGGGTTGGTGTGTGTATTTGTTATCCTCTGATGTGTGTTATGGTTATAGTCTAGAGCAGCGGTTGCCAACCAGTGGTCCATGGAGCACTGGTGGTCCACAAAGTCTGAAAGGTTGGCGACTGCTGGTCCAGAGTCCAACTCAGAAGCCTTGACCCAGACCCAGGCAGTTAAAGCCCATGAGAGAGGTTGACTATGGGATGTCCTGGTGCTATGCCGTGGGACTCACACCAGGGCTCTGGCCCCCTAAGCCTGAGGCCACGCCTCTACACAAAGCTGCTTCCCACAACCTAAAGGAAGGACATCCCCAGAGGCCGAGCCCAGCGCCAGCCCAGGTCAGAAGGGTGGGAGAACACGGCCCCTGGCGGCGTGCCGCATGGCTGGTTCTTTGGGTCTGCCCTCACCAAAGTGGTCTTCCCTAAAGAAGCAGGTGTGGAGGGTGCCTCTTCCTCCAGGAAGCCTTCCAGCAGGCCCCTGGAGAGCTTCCTCTCATTTTATCAGGCTGCACTGTGTCTCCCCTGGGGAGGGGCATATCTGCATGCCTGCTGGGCCCTCGGTATTCATTCTCTTGGCACAGTGCGTGTTCTGGTGGGCCGTATGGCTGGGTGGAAGTTGTGCCAGTCCTGACCCATTCCCCAGCCTGGATTGGCTCCTTCCAGCCTTGAGCCTGGCTAAGCCACACACTAACCCTTCAGCAATCTGCATGGCTCCTTGGTGATGAGGTACACTTCCGAAGTCACACCCAGCCCCACCACTGGGTCTACTTTGAAATGGTTGTCGTATAGGGTTTACCCTGCTTGGCCCCGTGTCCCCTGCAGAGCTGCCCTTTGGACCTCACAGCCCTGGCCTCAGGAGCTTGCCCTGTTTCTCCACCATCACAGCCAGCTTTGCATGGGCTCAGGACCTGGGCACAATTGCTCTTTCAGGGCAGGTCTTTGTCAAATGGCTAGAGTTTGGGCTCAAGTGGGGACAAGACAGAAGAGACAAGAACAGTCTGGAGAGGGAATCACATTCCTCCTGCCTGAGTGTCTGGGGAAGACCAGCCAGGTTGACAGAAGAAGGCCTCCCCCCCCTGCCCCCCTCCCCCACCACCAAGAGCATGAATAAACAGCTGAAGGACTGAATGACACACTTTATTAGAAACGTTCCTCATTCATCAGTCAAATTCACATTGAAGTGGGGGCGGCAGTGCCGTCTGGGGCTCCGAAATTCCACTGCTGGGACAATTTCCAGTTAAAAATGCGTCTGGGCAGAGAGCGTCGGAAACACTCGAGGGCTGCCCAGGGAGGCGGTCTCAGCAGCAGCATCCTTCCGGGAGAGGGCCAGGTTTGGAGCAGGTGAAGAAGGTGCCTCCCACGCCCACCCTTCCAGTTACGGGGCTGCCCTCACGGGCCCCACGCTGATAAATAAACAGCATGTCACACACACATTTGAAACAAACAAGCTCGTACAAGTCTCCTAAAGTGAAAAAATAGTTTGCTCAAATAAAGCTTTGTGGCAACCAGGCTGCATCCTGAGTGGATGGTTGCCTAGAGACCCCCGGCCTCCCCGACATCATCCACCAGGGGGTTGCAATGCCCCTCCCCTCCCCCACTAGCACCTTTGGACTAAGTACTGCCCTCACTCCTCGTACTCCTCTCTTAAAATGCACCTGCTGCTTAAAATAATAATAAAAGAAACACTCTGTCCCTGGGGTGAATTCGTGAGACTCAGCTTCCCTGAATAAGAGGTGCCTGGGGCAATGGGGGTGGGTGAGGGGCAGGAAGGCAGTGACTCGGGTAAGTAAACTTTCGAAGAGGTAAGCCAGAGGCGTGTGGCTAAACACTGCTCGGGCCACTTGCCAGTTCTGCCTGCGGGCATCTCTCTCAAAGGGGCGCAGTCCTCAAGTATCCTGCCCTGACAAGGGGTGAGGGCCCGAGGGGACCTGGCTGCTGTCATCATTCATTATCCGGAGGCAGTTTCTCCCCCAGCTGGCCCTGCCTGCTCCGCACACAACAGAGTCTCCTGCCCCAATGTTTTATTCATTCTCTTGAATATGGAGACGGGCTCCCGGATCAATACCATCGGAGGTGTCCAGTGGGCAGGCGGGCCCTCCTCCGGGGGCTTCAAGGCTTCCAAGGAGGTGTCGGGACTGTGGGGAGCTGCTTCTCGGGCAGCAAATACTGTTGGCAACAGACATTCATTTTTCAGGTTGGGAACGCGCACTGGCCTTCCAAAGAGCTGCAAGTTCTGGGGAGCCGGGCGAGAAAGGCCCCTGCCCGCATGTTCCCTGTGCCGTGAAAGGAAGGCCGGGCCCTCGGCGCCACAGGCCGTCACTGGTACTGCAGGTAGTTTTTGAGGGACTGAGGCAGGGGCAGGGCGCCGATGTCCTGCAGGCGCTGGCGGCCCAGGGCCAGGCGGATGGATCTCCGGCACAGGTCCATCAGCGGCAGGGGCTCGGCTGCAATGAGAGGGAAGCGGGTTAGAGTCTCGCCAGTGCCTTCCTCGCACCTCCTCCCGCCGGTCCTCCCACCCGCCCACTGTGCGTGGCCGCCTGTAAGCGGAGCAACAACTCTGCAGGTTTGCGGAGGGGATGGGAGGCAGTGACAGGTGCACCGTGCCCTGCCCGGGCCACGGATGTAGTGGGAGCTCGGGTCCCGGCTCAGGGCGTGTTGGCACCGAGCACCACCCCGACCGAACGTGCCCTCTTCCTCCATTCAGACAAACAGCAAGGATTTTCCGTTTCATTCACTTAATGAATTCGTGACAAGGAGACTGTGAACTTCCTAGAGGAGGTGACCCTGACTCATCCGTCCCAGGCCCCAGGCTGAGCCTGTTACCGGGATGACCCGGTGATCATCGGTTAAATGAATGAACTGACTTGCTGCTCGGGGTCTCTCCTCTGTAGCTGTTGGAAGCGACTGAAATAAGTTGCTCTTACCCGGCAGCACTTCTGTCCTAGCTCGCTCCCTCCCCTCCCCTCCTCTTCCTTCCCCTCCCCTCCCCTCCCCTCCTGTAAACTCGCAAGAACAGGGCATGTTTTAATGGACAAGAGGCTTGTGGTGAGAGTTAAATGCGTTAGAAAGTGTAAAGAACTTAGCGCAGTGCTCAGCACATAGTAGGTGCTCAGTAAACACCATGTCTGGCTATCTCCCTCATGCCCAGGCCTTTGTTGGTTGCCCTGGTGAGGAAGAACTCAAGAGGACTGTTAGCTGGCAGACAAGCAGTCCCTTTTCCGATGGGAGATGGGCTTGCATTTTATATGAGGGAAAAAATTGAGCTGTTAAAGTTTGATAATCATTGTCAAAGTTTAAAAGCTTTCTTAATCACTTTAATGCACTAGGCACATACTAGGTCCTCAACACCCCAAAGGCATAGCCTTATGGGCACACTCAGCTCCCTGTGTGTTCCCTGCCTAATTAGGGGCTGTATGGAAGGGAAGGTGCCTTTTGTCTTCACTCCTCTGCAATCATTGAAATCAATCCAGAGCCCAGACTCCAAAGGCAGAGAGAGAGGAGGGGCTGGAGCTTAGAGCGCATCTTTAGGTCTCAGTGTGAAATACCAACCCTCTCTCCTAATTCCTATGGCCGCACAGCAACCCCCAGCCCTGGTGCCGCTGTGGAGCCTCCAGCTCCGAAGATGCCAGTAACAGCCGGCCGTCCCTCCAACTCCTCCTCCTCACCCACCTCGGCTTTGGAACTTCTTAGAGCTCTCAAATGTCAAGGTTTAGAAACTGTGGGCGAAAAGGGGCCACACGCTCATCGGACTGGCTCAGGGAAGGCCTGCCTGGCGGCCGTGCAGACTTAGAGACAGACCTAAAGTAACCACCGAGGATGGTCTGAAACGAAAACTTTTAAAATTAAAAAGCAATGTATGGTGAGTGGTCATGTCCTAGGCCGGAATTTCCCCTGATAAAGGTCAATCTTTACTTTAAGTGAGCCTATTGTCTTTTTCTATCTATGATAACATCTTGTTGGAATGTCAAAGTAATTTTCCTTTTTTCTGGACCCCTCCAAGCACAGGCACCGCTCTGTGGACACCACAAATCCCCTCATTGTTATTGAAGTAATTGTTGACTGTTAACTACCTGCACCCACCTAAGTAAAAGAAGTATGTGTCTATCATTTTACTTTTTATCCAATCCCAGAGGTTTCCCCACTTTGCTGTCTCCCACCTCCCCAACCATCACCAGTGCCTCCCTAATCTCCCACCAGTGGATTTCATGTAACCCTACTTATATCTCCTTTGAGTGTGATGCAAAACACCAGGTGCAAAACTGCCATTCTCCGGAGCATTTTCTCAATCCGCTGAGATTCTGCTTCCTGGCAGTTGTTGACAGTTTGGCTCAGATAAACTCAGAAAAATCTTCACAGGTTTGAATGTTTCTTCCCTTAGCAAAAATGATCAACAAAGTGATGAGAGGCATTCTCAGACATGCTTTCTGACTGAAGATAAAATTTAAAAAGAAACATTGTTTGCCAAAGTGAATACCCAAATGGCCAATAAATATATGAAAATGTGTCTACTTCCTGAGCCATCAGGGACATGCAAATTATCACTATACTGTGACTCTCTGAGATGCCGACCAGGATGGCTAAAATGAAAACAAGACAATAGCAAGTGTTGGTGAGGATGTGGAGCGACTGGAATTCTCATAATGCTGCAGGTGGGCGGGTAAACTGGCACGCCACCTTGGGAAAACCGGAGGCATCTCCTCAAGCTGAACCTATGGCCTGCAATTTTACTCCCGGGTATACACATGTTCACCCATATGCACATACACGAATGCTCGTGGAGGTAACCAACTGCAAACAACTTTACTAGCCACCAACAGTGGGATGTCTACATAAATTGTGTATCTTCACTGAGTCAAATACTAATCCACCATGAAAATGAAGGAACCACAATTACATGCAAAAATATGGATGAATCTCTCAAACATAAGTATGAATGAAAGAAAAGTGCATTTGGTGTGACTTTATCTGTACCAAGTTCAAACACACAGAGGGATGAAGTTAGGGCAGTGGTGACGTGGGGGGAGCAGTGACTGAAAGGGGGCATGCTGGAGCTCCTGGGGGGGAGGGGCTGGTATTGTTCCCCTTGATTTGATTTGATTCTGCCTATACCAGTGTGTTCAGCTTGTAAAAATCATCAAGCTTACTCACCGGAGATGAGTACACTTTCTGCATAAATGTCAAAAACAAATTCACAGTAAAACAATGAGTCACTGATTCCAGAGTGCTTCATTCAGCTCCCCGCCGGGTGAGTGTGGATACAACACAAGCCAGTGAGGGCAAAGGAGGAGGAGGGGGGTTGGTGTGGAATCCTGGCTCCTGCTCCCACCACCAGCGGGCCAGAGAGCGGGCTCATCTTCCTGGAGCCACATTCTGCTCATCTGTGGAGTGGGGACAGCAAGGCCTCCATCATGCATTGTGAGGATGGCAAGACCCAGCATGTTCCTTTCCTTAAAGGCATTCTCTTATTTCATGCCATCAGCCCAAGAAGTACCTTTAAAAATAGTAATAATTTGCTAATTGTGGTTCAAAAATGCCTCGGCACATCATACTAATTGTCGACAATGCTATGCTCTGGCTGAAGATTCATTGGAGCCGGAGCTGGATGCCTGGTTCTGCGTTAAAAATATCACCAGGCGATCATTTCCGAAGTGACCTGCATTTTCCATGATTCTCCATCACTATCTGCCTGCACGACCCCGAGGAAACCACATTACTTCCTGGACTCTGTTTTGCAGGCAGTAAAACGGGGGAGTTAGCTCTCTGGTTACGATGGTCTATGACAGGAGCGAGGAGATCTTGGCACAGGCATTGGTAGCTTCGGCTGCTTCCCTGGGCCCCTCCAGGTCTCCGCTGCCTGCAGCGGGGAGATGCTATGACATGAGTCACCACCCTACCTCCATCCCTGCGTTTATATTTTGGAAAAAATATCAATGTTTTAAGGTTAGGAGGTGCAATTCTTCTGCAACAGTTGAAGACAATGATCAGCAGATGGAGGAAGGCTGGAGCAACAGCCCTGAGATCTTAAGTAGACAGGGCATCGTTGTTTGTTTTCAGGAAAAGAAACGAGAAGACACACATGGGCAGGCACACTCACTCCATGTGTCAGACACATCGCCCACAGCCCGAGACCTTGGTGTCTGGAGATGGAATTGCCTGCTGGCCTCTGGGCCTCTCCTCACGGAGCTCCTTCAGCTGGAACTCCCTGCTGGGGACAGGTAGCGCTACACACCAGGGGTGAACACGGCTCTCACCTAAGGGGCCCTGGAGAAGCCCCCGCTCCAGCAGCAAAGGCCGCTGGGCCCAGCGCAAGCACCAGGGCACCCCCTTAAAGGTCCTAACGCCGACGCCTGGGCTGCTCTCCGGATGAGGCAGCGGCCTCCGGGGCCCTGCCAGCGCTGAGTGCAGGTGAGCCCCTGCAGAGCGGCCTGCCTGCCTTCCCAGGGCCTCAGAGTCTGCAGTGTGGCAAGTGGCTTGGCAGAGAAGACGCAGGGTCCTGGCCACCAGCTGACACTTGGCAGAGCAGAAATCACAGATGAGGTTAACATGTCCATGAAAAGTAGCTGGCAAGCCAGTGATGTAAATGTTAGCTGAGCCTTGGAGGCCCAGGGTTGTGGCTCCCAAGTTTGTGGCACAGGCCAGGTGGGCTTCCTGGAGGAGGTGGGGCGGGAGAAGGCCATGGAACAACCCCAGCTGGAAACATCCTGTTGTGTTCAGACGTCATCTAATTTTCGGTTCAGGAAATGTGGTTTCCCTGCCCCCGACCTGCAACAAATCCCTGACTGCCTGAGGTGCTGTGGAATCCCTCCCAGCAGCTGGTGTGGTCTCGCCCCTGGAGACTTCAGGCTGCCACTGGCTCTTGTCCTTGCTGGCCAGCCCTTGTGGCTCTGCCTTGACATCATGGGGCTGGGGCTGGGGCTGGGAGCGGGGCAGCAGCTCCTGTGAGCCCCGTCTCTACAGAGGCCACTGCAGCTGGAGAGCCCTCCAGCGCGGTCCCGGCAGCCGGCAGAATGAGAAACACTGTGCCAGTTCCTCCGTCTGGTGGAAGGCGCTCCTGACTCAGCTGAAACATTTCCCAGAAAATCCGACTGTTTTCCGTTTGGAGCCCATCCTGCTGGCTGCACGGTGGCTGGACCAGGGCAGCTCCGAGTCACATGAGAACCTCAGGGAGGGCCTCTAGCTGGCGTGCGCCCTGCACCACAGGACAAGTTTCTCTGCCTCTGCAGCCATGGGGACAGCCTGGCTCCGTGCAGATGCTGAAGGGAGCACATGGGACAAGGGGAGACAGGCGTGGGAGCAGACAGCCCTGCAGACAGTCGATGCTCGTCCCACCCAGGGCAGGGGCAGGCCCTCAGGGATGGGACCCCTTCTAAAGAGGAAGAATAAGGAGTGTGGGGCCGCAGGACTTGCCTACCAGAGAGCAAGACCTATTTAAAGCCACAGCAAT